ACTTGAGAGTCCTCTCCTTCGTGTCCTTGATGGGATGAAGATGTCCTCCAAGGGTCCTCTTCGGCCCAGTCGTCCCACTGCCCCCCACCTCGTACGAACATCAGTCGCCTCGCCAATTTCCACACCAATCCCACCTGGGCGGCTTGAATGGCAGTCAGATGGGAGGTGTCGTCCAAGGTGGCCTGTGTCAGGCTGGCAGCGACCACAGGCCCAGGGAGGGCCGCGAGCAACCGGAGATCGTCGCCGGGATTGCCAGCTTCGGTCGTGAAGGCCGTCCACAAGGCAGGGGCCACCTCGAAATGCGACAGGAGGTCGGACACCTTCGTCATCGCTAACGCCGCAGCAGCGGCAGGAAACATACCAAGCCACCGCGAGGCGCCCCAAAAGGCGCGCCAACATGGCCTCCCCCCAAAAAGAGGGGGAAAACAGCGCTGGGTGGCTTGAGCCAAAATGGCATTGCCACCCAGCCTTCCCCACCCAGTGCTCCCATGAACTTGTCATGCGGAAAAACTTCGGTTTGCCTTCAATCCAAAAATCTCCTCCAAAGTGAGAGTGCTCTGCATCTTTGCCTTCAGTGGCTTCAGCCTGCATCGCGTGCTGAAGGAACCCCTGAGTGTATAAGGCCTCTGGTCAATGTCAAAGGCCTCTGGGGAGCTGGGCCCTGCAGCAAAGTCTCCGAACTCGCTGTCACCTTCAAGCTGCAGAGAATCAGGCACTTCAGAGTCATACATGAGTCATACAAGCATGCGGTCAGGTGACATAAAACCCAATAAAACACAATCAAACAACTGCGTGTGAGAGTCAGCCTTCGGAAGCATGTGCAGGTGCCAAGGTCTGCTCGGCTTCACTTTGGCCGCCCTGCTCCACAGTGTCCTCCTGAATGCAGCCACGCTCCATCGAGTAAAGAAAGAAAAGGGATCCTGTTGTAGTTCAAAAATGAGGTCAGCAGAGCGTCCTCTTTAAGCAAGTCATCAAATGCTGACATCTTGCTCCACAAGTCTCCTGCCAATACATTGCATACAAACCTCACTTGAAGGAAGCATAATTGAACGTGTCCCACACAACTCCACTTCTTACTAGACGTAGTAGAAACGAGCTGGGTGTCCAGCCAGAAGCTTCTCAGCCAAGTTTTGGTCCATGACAGGCGTTCACAAGAATGGTGCAGTTCCGTGAACATAAGAAACTCTCCAAGCATTTGCCAACCAAAAATATTACCGTCTAGAAGGCAGGCTCCTGTTGGTGCCGCTGTGGATGCAGTAGTTGTCGCTGTAGTTGACGCAGGCACAGATGCACTGCACGGGATTCAACATGCAACTGGGCCAATGTGTGAACAAAAAGCTGATGCCTTTCGAAGGCTGCCCACTCAGACATCTCCTGGCCCACTCGCAAAGCTATCAAACTCGGTCAAAAACCACATCTCAGCATGCCTCAGTGGTGGCCACTGGGCCATCGCCTCTGGCATCACCAAAGGCATCCCAGCTGGGCTGAGCCGGCTGAGCAGCCTTCGCTAACTGTAAACATCGCAGGCGGAGTGATGGCATCCGGGCGAATAGTCTTTGTTCCTAGTAGCGTCCTTGCTCCTAGTAGCGATGCCAGGAGCCCCTAGTAGCTTCTTGTTCCTAGTAGTGATGGCGACTGAAGGATTGGGAAGAATTTGGACCCCGGCGCCACCAAAGCCATCCCACTCCGCTTGCATCGGCTTGGGCTCAACTCGCTCCACAGCCTCCTCACAGAAAAGCTTCCACGAGGCCAAAATAGTTGGTTCGATCGATCCCATCTTAGCCAGCCAGGCACCTGCTCACCAAAAGCAGCCCATGTCTGGTCTTTTGAGACCTGGTGCTGGTAGTCTGCATGATTCTGCAAGACTGTTGGATGTCTTCGACCTAGACATCCCTGAGACCCAAACAGGTTCTCCGCTTGAGGCATCCGGCTGTCGATGTTCCATCTCATGAACATGAGCCTAAAAAAGCAGTTAAAAAGCCAAGAGCATTGCTCCTGTGTTACAGTATCTTCCTGCCCCTCAGAATGAGTATGAATGAGCTCACTGCGGTATCACCAGCTTGCGTCGCTTCCGATTCGACGATGGCCTCAGTGTCCGGGTGAATAGTCTAGTAGTTTCTTGTTCCTAGTAGTAATGCCAGGAGCTATCAGTAGTTTCTTGCTCCTAGTAGCGATGCCCTTTGTTACTGGTTGAAACGAAACTCCCAACTCAGCTGCGTGCTGGTTGGCCGAATGCCTGCCATGTCGACTGGTGTGCAGGGGCCGAAGTTGGTGCCGGAGCCGAGGCAGGACCCGGGACAGGAGCCTGCATGGCAGAATTCCAGTGAAAGCTATGCGCTTTCAATGCATCCTCTGAAATTAGTTCCCTATTGGATCATCAAAGGAAGTTTAGTGTGCAAAACTTCCATGTTACGGACATTCAAGAACTGTTCATACACCACTCATCAGAAACCACTTATCATACACCACTCATCATACACCACTCATCATACACCACTTATCATACACCACTCATCATACACCCAGTCGTGGCAGGCACAGCACTTTGCAGCACTTTGTGAACCTCAATGCTTCTCCGAACCTCGACGGGGAAGCTCCGCGGAACGACGGTTGCCGGACGGTCTCGGGTCATGGTCGGGTCATGCTCGGAATCGTCCCTCCATTGTGGTTAGAGTTTTCACTTGTTTCTTGAAGTGCAGATTTCGTGGCAGGCACAGCGCTTTGTGAACCTCCATGTGCAGATTCCGTGGCAGGCGCAGCATTTTGTGAACCTCCATGTGCAGATTTCGTGGCAGGCACGGCACTTTGTGAACCTCCATGTGCAGAATTCGTGGCAGGTGTAGCACTTTGTGAACCTCCAGGCGCAGATTTCGTGGCAGGCACAGCACTTTGTGAACATGTGCAGATGTCGTGGCAGGCACAGCACTTTGTGAACCTCGATGCGCAGACTTCGTGGCAGGCGCAGCACTTTGTCAACCTCAAAGTGCAGATTTCGTGGCAGGCCCAGCACTTTGTGAACCTCCATGTGCAGATGTCGTGGCAGGCACAGCACTTTGTGAACCTCGATGTGCAGATTTCGTGGCAGGCGCAGCACTTTGTGAACCTCCATGTGCAGATTTCGTGGCAGGCGCAGCGCTTTGTGAACCTTCGAGGCTGAGAACTGGCGACTTTGTAGTACAACTTTGGTACCCGGGGGAACCTGGGGAGCTGGAAGATGAGAACTGGCGACTTGTAGCACAACTTTAGTGCGCGGAGCAATCTGTGGAGCTGGAAGCTGAGAGCTGGCGACTTTGTAGTACAACTTTAGTACGCGGAGTATCTGGGGAGCTGGAAGATGAGAACTGGCGACTTTGTAGTACAACTTTAGTACGCGGAGTATCCGGGGAGCTGGAAGATGAGAACTGGCGACTTTGTAGTACAACTTTAGTACGCGAAGCAATCTGTGGAGCTGGAAGCTGAGAACTGGCGACTTTGTAGTACAACTTTAGTACGCGGAGTATCTGGGGAGCTGGAAGCTGAGAACTGGCGACTTTGTAGTACAACTTTAGTACGCGGAGCAATCTGTGGAGCTGGAAGCTGAGAACTGGCGACTTTGTAGTACAACTTTAGTATGCGACTTTGTAGTACAACTTTAGTACATCAGGGAGCACAGACCTTGCACAGGTGGCGCTGTGTTGGTCAAAAGTCCGGAGCGCATGCGTCTGACTGAGGGACACGAGGGACACGCATGGTGGAAAGAACCGGGACACTCCTATAGGTCAATTTGTTCTTAGGAAACTTCCGCCGCCGGCTTGCCCGGGAACTACTTGTATTGGTTTTCACGTGTGGAATACTCAGAGCCAATGTATCAAAAGAGACTTGACGAGCATGCAGCGTGCAAAGCCCTCTGGAGCCGGTCTAGAAGGAAAAGGCATGGAAAGGACACTGAGCGGCCAAAGAGTGATTGGCTTCTTGAGGCAACCCATGTGTGGTTGAAAGGACTTGTGTTTTGCAAAAGCTTTGAGCAAGCAGCCTGGTGCCACACAGGCGCGTCGAAGGCATCCCACTTGCTTGCCTCATCCGGCAACGCCTGCCACCAGTGCCCTTTGGACAACCACAGAATGAAAAGACTCGTTGTTTCAGGCTGCACACATCGATTCTCAATAATTCTTCTTTGGCTAGCATGAGCTGCTTACTGAACCACTCAAGTTTCTGCACCTCATGTGGTGCACCCGAAGGATGAGAACCTGTGAAGAAACTGTCCTTGAGAAAATGTCAAACATGTGGCTGATGTCGAACGTCCTTATACAAACATGTTGAAACCGGCCTCCGGTTGGCGCGAGCTCCTACAAGCTACTCAGCTACTCCAACACCAAATCAGCTTCAATGCAATTCACATACAAGTCCTCTGCCGGCGCTGCAGGTGGATGTGTCACTTCCTGCGGAGTTTCGACCCAATACAGCGTTCGTTCGATGTCGCTCAGGCCGGCGAGCCAGCCCTGATCTGAGGTGCTCACAGGGAGAGCATCCAAGGGCCCAGAGCTGGCCACTCCAGCCTTAAACTCTCACTGCATCCGTCCACGTATCTGCATGTGTGACGTGTCGAAGCAACCAGGTTCTGGCGATCTCTGAGGACCCTAACGAGGGCTTCGAACTCAGCAAAGACATCTCGCTTTTGTGTCTCTTTCTCACCTGCCAAGAACCCTCAAGCAGCGTGGCAACGGACGATGCATCAAGACTGGGTGTGTGGACTGAGCTGTTTCTCCCGAGAGCACTCTGGTCAAATTTGACGCTGAATTCTCAGCTTGCTCACACTGCGAAGACCTGCTGAACTCGCCTTGGTGATGACTACAACAAGCAGTCCAAGCCGAATAGTGAATCCAATTGAACGGGACATGTCTACGCGGCAGAAGCACCCTTTCAAACCGCCCCTTTTCCTGATGCATCTGTCAGGAAAGTGTTGTGAGGGCACAACACAAAAGCTGTTCAAACCTTGCAGCAGTAGCAAATCCTTTACACCTTTACAGTTTGCCTTCTGCTTCATCGAAGCTACTTTTGGCTTGGCCACAAATTCCGTCGAGTTCCTTGACTTGACTTGCAAGAGGCGCTGGTTTGGGCCTGCTGCAACTTACCAAAAAGTAAAGCGCGATTCCGGCCACAGCCGCGCCAGCATTTGCAAAATAGTAGTACTCCAAACTTCCAGAGTCTAGGTTGTTTGGGTACAAGAGTTTGGACACAACTGCCGTAAAAGCATTGGATACAGAGCCGGAAAAGAACAGGTTGAAAGCCTGAAGCAAAGAACGCACTTGTGCAGGAGCTGATTCATAGCAGTAGCAATACATGCATGGATTCACAAGAATCTCAGAAATGCCAACAAGAGTGAAGGGCAGAAAGATCCAGAATGCGCTGATATCACGCATACGGGTCCCTTGCAGCCCATCTTCTGTATACCCAGGAGCGCACTGGGAAAAACCAACATCACCGCAAAGGAAAGGTGCCTCTTTGCGCTTATATTCAAGGATAGCAGCAGAGATGTTGGAGACCGAAGCGATGATCAAACCTGCAATGATCTTCTGGCCGTGGCTCACTCGGGACCCTTTGATTCGTGCAATCATTGGAAACAAGCAAGATTCGAAGATTGGGGTGAAGATGACAATGGCCAATGCATCAGAGATGTTGTAGAAGGCTCCGTTGAGTTGTGATGACCCAAAGCGAACATCCATCTGACAAGCTTGTGAGGGGAAGGCATTGTTCATTGAGTTGTAGCACAAACTAAAGCAAATGTTCACCACCACAATCAAAGGAATTGCTGCAAGAGTTTGCTGGGCTTCATTTACATTGAAGCTGTGGCTAGATTCATCTCCAATGCTTTGTATCCAAGAGCAATTCACATGCGCGACCTTGGCTGTGCCAGCTTAGGCAAATAGTCTGGATTCCAACTATATAATATAAGGGAACAACCCCAAACCCTCTTTCTACAACTTCCTTATCACGATGCCTGCTGTCAGTTTAGGCAATCATGAACTGCAGTCCCAACCGTCATGTTCGAAATGACTTTAAACGGGGCTCAACCAGGCTTGGTCATGCAAGTCATGCTCTGACTGGCAGGTCCCAAAATGCTCAAAAGAACATTCCTGTGTGTTGAAACACAAAGGTGAAGCACAGCGAAGCGACGAAAGCTGGGAACCTATTGAGCGTTTCTATGTCATGTATTTGAGCGAAGCTTTTTTCCACTGGGAAGAATGATGGTGTTTGGAATGTCATGGAGTGTCAACACGGATATACACGTGATTTCAGTATTAACGGGGGTTCACAGGATCTGCAGCAACGGTTGCTTCAACTTGAGACAATGGGAACGCAAGGTCGAAGCATTTGCTTGCTGCATTGCTGGTCTGAACACACATATGTGAGCTATATGGAGGCACAACACCGCGATGACATTCTAGGGTTGCTGAGAGCCCTAATGTGTCCATCAATGCTGTGGCTGTTGTGCTCACATGCTTCTTGAACACTTGTTAAGCAGAAACGAAGTTGAAGAACAAATTGCTGATCTTGTTCTTCCGCTGCTCCAACCCTAGTCTTTTGACCAGCACAACAGGGCAAGCCGAAAGGAAGCCAAAAATCTTGGTACTGTCTCTGATCGGGAGTCGGGTGCTTGAATCCCAATGCAGCAGGCAAGCGTTGGCCAAGGGTCCTTTGGCGGGTAGACTTGATGCTGCTGTTCATGCAGTCTGTACTTCTCTGCCGTTCTTGCGACGTGTAAACGTGGTCTCCCGGCGAGGATGTCTTAGCTGAGTTCAAAAGCCATGCTCTGCTGTTGCAGGGTAAGTGAACAGGATGGGGAGTAGGGCGATTTGCGGTGAGGTGGAGAAGGGTGGCGCATGCAAGCCGGGAAGTGTGGGGCCAGTGTGGGGGTGCAAAGTCGAGGTCCAAGAATAACGGAACGGTGCAAGACATGGCCCATGTCTTGGAATCAAAACAGTCACAGGATGTCACAGGATGTACAAGAAGCACTGCTCTGAGGCTGGTACAATGAGAAAAATGCACGCCAAAGCTCCCAATGCCAAGGCAACGTCGCTGAGCACATCCTCGTTGCCGGTGCCATGAAGTAGTCGCGGAGGAGGGTCCAAGGAGACCGTGCAGGGGTCCAAAAGTATCTCTTTGCTTGATGTCTCCACCGAAGAGGACAAGAGAGTGTTGACAAGGGTGACAATGTAAAACAATGGAAGGCATGCAAAGCCAGCAGCGGACATCACAGCTCTCCACCCACCTCCACGTCTAACTGAACGAAGCTGGTAGCAAATGAGTCGCTTGACAGGCCCCAGCCCATTTCCTGGTAGGATGGTATATGATCGTGTGAAGCTTACAAAAAGGACCACTGCCAGAATCATACAAACTGCGCCAGAGCCATAGGCGAATGAATAACCTTCGGACTGTGGGATCACCCCAGCAAGACCACCAGTTGTCGTGTTGCACAGGAATCCAAAAGCTACAAGGACGCCAATGTTGATGGAAAGGTAGAAGAGGGAAAAAAAAGTCGCTTGGCATTGGCGCTGCTGCTCTGTAGCATCTCCGATTTGATCTGCTCCAAAGTTGGCGATGTTTGGCTTTATTCCACCAGTCCCCATCGCAATCAACACCAAGCAGCTGAATGTGAATAACCATCCCAAAGAGTTTTGAAACTCATGAATTACCGCGATCCCAACAAAAATAGTCCCCAAGGCATATGTGAGTCCTGAGCCAATGATAGTCTTGTAGCGACCAATGGAGTCGGCTATCAAGCCACCAGGAATGCACCAAAAATAGCATAGCATGCTGAACACTGAATTCAGGGCTGCAGCCGTCGAGGGCGTCTTGTCCAGTTGGTTCTGAAAGTAGATCTTCTGAGTGCCCGCGAGCGTGTAGTATGTCAGCCGTTCACATAGCTCGACAAGAAGTATCACTCCCACGGGCAAACGGTTGATCTTCAATCTCTTCGAATCAGAACCAACCGAAGCCTTTGGTGTCGAAGCCTTTGGCGAGCTGTCCATGGTGACCTTTTTTTGTGCGACTTTGCCTAGACGTGTCGAGCCAGGTTTGAGGCTTGTGGGCTTTGAAACTTGGTGTGCAAAGTGCAAAACGGCTGAGCTCGCAAAACCTGTGTATATATATATATTGCCTATATAGTATACGTAGTGTTATTGGTACAGTATATATATATATTGATTGACTCTGTACGTATATATTTATTTTGTGTGTACAAATGTTCAACTGTATTATATTGACTAGGCACACATATATATATATATATGGTGTATATATTCCTGCCAAGTGTTGCATAGTCCTTGATGGACGCTCTAGCCACATGGATGATGAAGCATGGTTGCTGAGCATATGCTGCGGATACATCAAGTGAGGCTGGTTGCCGTGCTCCAACTACTCTGAGGCAGGGTCAGAATCTCACATCCATGTCCACCCTCATCAAAGGCCCTTTGTTACGGGGAGACAAACGTAACCGGATCTTGCCCGACAACCAAAAGCTGTCAATTGCTTCTGTTGCGAGGTGACATATTGATAAGGTGCCCACACCTCTTTTTCAAATCGATGCCCTGCTCAAGCAATCGGCACGCTCTGCCTACCACATGAGCATAGTTAGTGCGGCACTTGCACTTGCATGATTGAATTTGACTCTGACTACAGGCTCTCAAATGTCAGAGTCCGAGTCATCAACTGGCCCAACGACCATCTCCTTTTCCACTTCTGGTCGCATGTCATGAGCGTTAGCGCTGCCCTTTCTGACCAAGAAGTACACTCCAATTCCAATAATGGCCAAGACTGCATTGACAAGGTAATATGTTTCCAAGCTGCCGGTGTCGAGGTTGTTGGGGTAGGCAATTTTGGACACGACTGCTGTGAAGGCATTGGACACAGACCCAGCAAAGAAGAGGTTGATGGCCTGAAGCAAGGAGCGAACCTCGAGCGGAGCTTCTTCATAGGAGAAGCAATACATGGTTGGATTCACCAATACTTACTTCAGATATACCAACAAGAGTGAAAGGCAGAAAGATCCAGAATGCGCTGATATCACGCATACGGGTCCCTTGCAGCCCATCTTCTGTATACCCAGGAGCACACTGGGAAAAACCGACATCACCGCAAAGGAAAGGTGCCTCTTTGCGCTTATATTCAAGGATAGCAGCAGAGATGTTGGAGACCGAAGCTATGATCAAACCTGCAATGATCTTCTGTCCCATGCGAACTTCTGACCCTTTGCATCGTTCGATGAGAGGACGCAAACAAGACTCGAAGAGTGGAGTGAAAACAAGAATTGCAAATGCATCAGCAATATTGAAGAAGGCTCCATTCAACTGGCCACTACCAAGCCTGAGGTCCATCTGACAGGCTTGAGAGGGGAAAGCATTGTTCATGGAGTTGTAGCACAAGTTGAATGAGAGGTTCACCACCACAATCATTGGAATGGCTGCAAAGAACTGTTTGGCATCTTTCGCGCCGAAGCTGACCTTTTCGCCAATGTCTTGCACCCAGGAGCAATTCACGTTCGCAACCTAGACTGATCAGCTATGACAAAGCTCATGGTGCTGCACACAAAAACTAGTCTGGAGGATACTAGAGCTGATAGATATAATAATACAAAAAATTTCCCCAAACAGTGTGGACACACCAGGGGTGCTTACGGTAGGTGTTCAGCACCGGTGTCCAATCGAGGTGTCGCGCATCCGTGTCCGGCTAATTCGCTGCTATTTACAGTACATGCATGCCTCTCAAAATCCTCGAAATGCATTTCGACTGCGCAGGCTCGCAAAATCTGCTTGGCCGCAGCTGGTGCTTGTCGCGACTGCGCTCTCGTTGTGGCGCCGTGCGCATTTTCGGACATGGTGGTCACTTTTCGTGGCAGGCGCAAGGGAAACCTCGTGCTTTGGTGGTGCAACCCCGACTTTTCGTGACAGGCGCAAGGGATCGGAGCGGCTTTACTTCGAAGCGCAGATTTCGTGGCAGGCGGACATGGCGGTCTCTGATTTCAAGACAGGTGCAGAGAATCGTGAGTTTTGGACATGTGGCTCGTTTGCAGGTTTCGTGGCAGGCACAGCACTTTGCGAACCTTGAAGCGCAGATTTCGTGGCAGGCACAGCACTTTCTGAACCTGGAAGCGCAGATTTCCTAGCAGGCGCACCACTTTGTGAACCTCGAAGTGCAGATTTCGTGGCAGGCCCAGCACTTTATCTCGTGGCAGGCACAACACTTTGTGAACCTCGAAGTGCAGATTTCGTAGCAGGCACAGCACTTTGCGAACCTCGAAGTGCAAATTTCGTGGCAAGCACAGCACTTTGCGAACCTGGAAGCGCAGATTTCGTGGCAGGCACAGCACTTTGCGAACCTCGAAGCGCAGATTTCGTGGCAGGCACAGCACTTTCTGAACCTGGAAGTGCAGATTTCCTAGCAGGCGCTCCACTTGTGAACCTCGAAGTGCAGATTTCGTGGCAGACCCAGCACTTTGTGAACCTCGAAGTGCAGATTTCGTAGCAGGCACAGCACTTTGTGAACCTCGAAGTGCAGATTTCGTAGCAGGCACGACTTTGTGAACCTCGAAGTGCAGATTTCGTAGCAGGCACAGCACTTTGAACCTGGAAGGGCAGATTTCGTGGGAGGCGCAGCAACAAAAGTGCTTTCGATGCTCACACGCTCACACTCACGCTCACGCTCACACTCACACTCACACTCACTCACTCACTCACTCACTCTCACTCACACTCACACTCACACTCACTCTCACTCTCACTCTCACTCTCACTCTCACTCTACTCTGACTCTCACTCTCACTCTCACTCTCACTCACGCCCTCACCCACACTCACTCTCACTCACACTCATTCTCACTCACTCTCACTCTCACTCTCACACTCACTCTCTCACTCTCTCACTCTCTCTCACTCTCTCTCTCTCTCTCACTCTCTCTCTCTCTCTCACTCTCTCACTCACTCTCACTCTCTCACTCTCTCACTCACTCTCACTCTCACTCTCACTCTCACTCTCACTCACACTCACACTCACACTCACACTCAATCTCGCGCACTCTCATTCACACTCACACTCACTCTCACTCACACTCACTCTCACTCACGCTCACTCTCGCTCTCACTCACACTCACACTCAATGCGTCTAGATCGCTAGACTTTCTGCTACTACACCTCTAGACCTCACACACACACTGTTTGGGGTCTCTTGCCGGGATAATTTCTTATAGTTGTGATTGGATTCTTGGACACAACACGCACAACACCTAGAGTACAACAGTGATCCCTCCAATGCCAACCAACACATTTGTGTGCGGAGTTGACCCTCGCAAAGTATTACAGAAAATGTCCCTTCACCAAGCTGTATACTGTATAACACCTGTCTGTGTCTCAGGCCACTTGTCCCCAAGCCCACTTCCCCAATGGACAAAGGTGTCCATGCTTCTCTTTATCTACCAAACTGTATTTTGCATTACGTCATCAGCATTGCCACTATCCTCATCATCAGCAATCTCGGCTGACTCCTCTTCCTCCTACTCCTCTAACTCATACTCCTTGTGATTGTCAGAAGCAGCAAAGATTGGAAAAATCACACCAAGGAGTTGTTGGGTGCAGTATTAAGGCTTGCTGCCATTGCTTCCAAGACGATTCCTAGCTTCTCCCCTTTCAAGCTTGTTTCTTTGGAGCTTGTCATCCTATCAATTCATGAAAACTCTTCTCACTCGATCTTGCTGCGTCTAGAACTGAAAAGGACTTTGAGCACTGAGCCATCGAACCAAGTAATGCCATCTAATACCCCTCAAAGGGCCCACACATTGCATTTTGTTGTGTTGTCCTGTGCGGTCATGCTCTTGTTCCAACTGGAGGTTCGCATCAGCTGTGCTAAGGCTAAGGTGGCGACAACAAGAAAGACGCATGCGATGGACCCCAATGCCAGGGCAATGTTGCTTAGCAGACCCTTTCCACCAGATCCGCCATGAAGCAAGCGAGGTATTGCATGGGGGTCCGCAGACACCGCACACGGGTCATGAAATACTTCATGGGTTGAAGCCTCCGCCGAGGAAGAAAGAAGAGCATCGGAAAGAGTAACAATGTAGAACAAGGGAAGGCATAGGAAACCGGCGGCGGACATGGCCGCCCTCCAACCACCACCATTGCACACAGAATAGGTCTGGTAGCGGATGAGTCGTTTCACAGGTGCAAGCCCATTCCCTGGCAGCATGGTATACGAACGGGTGAAGCTGATGAATATCACCACAGCTAGGCACATGCAACCAGCACCAGAACCATATGCGAAGGTGTAGCCCTCTGCTGGTGAAACAACACCAGAAAGTCCACCTGAATGGGCCGAGGCAAAAATAAGAAAGTGAGAATCTGAGAATCTGAGGTCTTTCCCCTTTTAGAAAAAGAGACTCTTCTGACCTTTTCAACTTCTTTCAACTCCACCTGTCGTGGTGTTGGTGAAGAAGCCAAAGGCTATCAATACTCCGATGTTGATTGAGAGATAGAAAAGGGAAAAGAATGTTTTCTGACACTCTCGCTGCCGCTCAGATCTGTCTCCAATCTGATCTGCTCCGAAGTTGGCGATGTTTGGCTTGATCCCACCAGTTCCCATCGCAATCAGCACCAAACAGCCCACCATAAATAGCCAACCAAGTGAAGCTTGAAGCTCATGAATCACTGCCACTCCAACACACAGCGTTCCAATGGCATAGACACTTCCAGCAGCAATGATGGTTTTGTAGCGGCCAATGGAGTCTGCAAGCAATCCACCAGGAATGCACCAGAAGTAGCAAAGCATACTGAAAACTGAATTCAGTGCAGCTGAGGTTGAGGGAGTTTTCTTCAGCTGATTTTGAAGGTAGACCTTCTGTGTGCCAGCCAGTGTGTAGTAGGTCAGCCTCTCACAAAGTTCAACGAGCAGTATTCCTACGATTGGTAGCTTTGTGATCTTCAGACCGTCTTCGAAAACGTCGGAATCATCAGAGTCTTCTCTTGGCACTGTCGACACGCGGCTCATGATGAGAGCTCCAAGGCCAAGCTATTGGAATTTCCTTCCGCAAGCTTCCTTTGCTTGATCCGAAAAGCAACATGTTACAAGGTAGCAAAGGGCAAATTGCCTGCAAAACCCATGAGAAACTTCTCGAATTCAAAGCTTGCATATGTTCGCCTGTTCCTGAGCTCTGGGCTTAATTTTCTTTCGGCAAACGGGACATGGCTTCTTGGAAAAGCCTTGGCGTGCTTTGCAGCAACATTACCCTCGATGAGTTGTCGGTGTCTCAGTTGCAGGCGTTCCCCACATGTGCGACAAGCAGCCATGTGGCCACATGGCACGAAAACGGTTGTGGCAGGCTCTTCCATACCTTGGCAGTTCTCTTTCTGCTTGCACGCGAGCATGTCGTCTTAAGCTTTTCGCAGGGGAAACATGTTGCTCTTCACAACAGTGAATCAATTTACTGAATACACAGCTTCAGGTGGATTGATGTGACGGGCGCAAGGGCGTGGCGATCCTTTGCTACAGAGCGGATGATGGGCAATGGTTCCACGGGAGTGTGGTGCCCATGAGAGAAAAAGACCTCAGAAAGGTACTACGAAATCCAGCGTACAACCATCCATCCCACCTACTACCCGAGATCCCTGCCCAAAGACTCACAGGCTGAAACTTCAACCTATAATGCTCCCGAAACGGAGCATTATGGACCCTGAGCTACTCAAAAAAGAATACTTTGCACGCAAACAGTGAGCCACCATGATCGCATAGCTCCACAAAGTACCCACATCTATCTATCCTTCCATCCATCCATCCATCCATCCATCCATCCAATCCAATCCAATCCAATCCAATCCAATCCAATCCAATCCAAT